CTCGTTAGCAGAACGTTCCTTGTACTGGGAGATGAAAAATCTACTTTTTAATTCCCCACCCCCCCAACGTGGTACTTTGCACCATAAAAAAAAAATACTTACCTTGTTTTTATTCTTCAGCACAACATAATGATCTACTTTTCCAAACCGAAGTCCCACACAAACCGCTTCCAGTTCTCTGTATCCATCATCTGGCAAGTTCCCGAGATGGACAAACTGATTATGTATAGTTTCAGTATTTACCTAAAGAAAAGTGATGACAAAACTTGCGATAACTTTGTAACACACTTTATTAGCAACTACTGAACTAGGTTAGAAAAGCCTCACAGAAAACTTCTCTTTTTTGGTAAGAACTGAGTGATACAGTCACACACATCCAATGTTCACATTTTCAGAGTCACATCAGATTTTCCATTTTCTACTCAGTATATCAAAAGTACCACCTATACTTCCAAGTATATAACAAAATAACAAACTTAAAAGCATCAAGTTGAGTGTTTTATTTTAAAGACACTGCAAAATATAGCTGAAGTTTAAATAAAATTTACTATTTTGAAAAGCAGACAGTTCTAGTCAGATTATAAATTGGTAAAGGCATAGAAACTTATCCAAAAGACCCCAATCCTGGTTTTTAAATTTGGTTTACTTGATCAGTTTGTAATAATATAAAGATCCCTGGTCAGGTATCATTTCCTGTGTTTCTCAATTTTCACAGTTAACACCACCACCAAGCGGACAGGCTATCAAGGACACCAGTAAGTCTCTTCTGACCAGGAAGGATTCTGGTGCAGAGCATACGAGTGGGCTGACAGCAAACAGAAAGCCATCATCAGCCACATAGTTCCAGCAGAACCATAGACTGAACCCTGGCACCAAATATTTTGTGCAGGATCGAAGGTAAGGACCCTGGGACACAAAGTCCAAGGGTTACTAGTAAACTTCTGAAATCTTAAACAAGTCTCATCTTTAATACTTGAAAGCTATGTGTCTTTTAGAAACACAACACTCACTCCCAACAAGTAAGAAATCCCCTCCCTCCCCCCTCCAGGTCTGGTATGTTTTTCTTCCATTATTCATCACTTTATTAGGAGCAGAAAAGAAATATTTCACCACAAGCACATCAGGGGCGTAAGTAGGATACAGCAGTAGGGGTGTTGGCAGTTAAGTACTCAGATGTGTCTGTCAGTGCCAAACAACAATCATAAGGAGAAAGCAGATATCCCCCAGGCACATTTGCAATTGAAAAGTCAAGCCTTTTGGGGTTTCTTGGAAAGTCATTTGTTGGCAGGGCTCCTTGCAACGTGCTTTTTAACCAAAGTCACTCTTGTGAAGTTCTTGTGCCAACTGTTTAAGCCCAGAGACACATTCAGACCCAATGACTGACCCTCTTACCAAGAATATCCTGAAAATGTTTTTCACAGAAGACATAAAATAATAATTCATTAATTATTTCATTAACGTCCGCCTACCTACACGGCATAAAAATGTTTCGTACATCAATTGCCAGCTTGCACTGTGTACAGTAAAAGAACAGATGGGACAATAAGGGAGACACACTACACTGAACAAAGCAGAGGTAGTTTTGATACTTAAACCAAAATATCCGTCTATAAAACACACTGGGGAGAACGGGTGGCATTATATAGAGGCAAACACTGCACACTCTCCAAGCCATAGTGGTCAGCAGCTTGTTGTTAGAACATGAAATAAACATAACAGCAGGGCGTGGGTCTCAAAGGATTCCTATTAAATTTTTAATTTCTTGCACTTCATGCATCATGCAGCTAAACTAAGTCAACATCTACTCATTCTATTCCCTCCTCACTCACCCATGAAAATATATATAAACACTTAATTCAAGAGAATGCTTGGATAACAATTCAATTAGCTAATATTTCAGTATGAACAATACTACCTCCAATTTAAAGTAACGTATTTTGATAGCACGTGGAGGAAAAGTTAGGCTGCTAGCAACTTACCTTAGGGTCAGAGTCTTTAATTATAGCAGTAAATATTGCTTCCTTTGGAGAAAAAAAAAAAAAAAAAAAGACATTATAAGATTTGAACTTTAAAATATAGCTTCACTAGCAGCAGCTAACTGGCTGTCACTGACTCCCAACAACTTCGAAATTTCTGCTTTACTAATAATATCAACAGCATCAGCACTTCTCACATCTGTGTTACTCCCTTATCAGAAGGCCAGGACTCAAAAAGGCATTTAACAGAATCAGTCTTCAATACGACAAACCATGAGAATGCACAAAATAGCGAGTGTATAAAAGTCAGCTTAAATACAAAATCCTGCTCTGTATTGAAATATTATCACATACCCTAAAATTTCAATATATGTTATTACTTACTTCATCTTTTATAGTCTTATACTGAGGCACCATGTTAATGCAGAGCTGATTTCCATCCAGTGACATTGGAAAGCAGGTGTAAAATTTAACCATGGAATCTGCAGATTTTCTACTTATTTCAAGATACGCCTTTTAAAATAAAGAAAACAATAATTTAAGAACTGTAATTTATCAAAAGCATTTCACATCAATGCTTGCGCACTACATTATCACATTTGCATTTGTTGAAAACATATTTGCTGCTTCTCTAATTAGAAACACTACTAAATATCAATTAGAATACCTTTTTATGAGACGATAAAATTAGCACATCCCTCAGTCCCCCAAATGGCTTTGCTAAGTTGGAAACTTCCTCAACAGAATATCCTTTCTCAGGCAAGTTTGAAATAAGAACCACACATATATCATCAAGTTCCTGTAAACAAATTAAAGTAAATATTACTGATAGTTCTTCAACTGTAAATCAAAACTGTTATATTACTGAAAGGAGCTTTATTTTTACTATGTAAAACCATCATTAAACTGAATGAAGCACTTGCTTAAAAGCATGTTATAAATACTTGCAATTACGTCAAAACCAAAGATCATTTAAACCTTTTCAGGATTGAGTAGCAAAGCATATTAAACAATTTTTTTAACCTTTTCTTTAATTATGGCACGTAATCACCTTAATTACTGCTTAATTGTGGCTGTATCTATATCTAAGCTAATTCTGCACAAACCTTCAGTTGTCTCACGCTACCTCATCAAAATTTCAAAGCAAATCAAAACCCCCTATAATTATGCCACTACTTTATACCCGTGACATGCCCACATGCCAAAAGCTGCAGGACTGTATGTGCAAATACTGCATATAAAGGGAAGACACCCACAGTAGGGCAATATAGATGATCAGAGCATAAAGGAGCTTTGGTGTGACAAACAAACTCTGAGGAAAAACCACAAAACCAGAGCGAAGTGGTAGATGTCTATCAAATCACAAACAGCAAGGTGAAAAAACTATTCAGTATTTCTCACAAGAGATTAACAGGCATGGGATTTAAATCAGAGTTTTTCAGAGAGCACACCAACACTTGGAAACTAGCACCATGTGCGTACTTACAACTTCCACAGATTCAAGCACCTTTAGGACTGACCTTGCTAGGTGGTTCCATTGATTCTTCACTCTTTGCAGTTGCTATTGTAGCTTCTAAGAATTAAAAAAAAAAAAAAGTGGGGTGGGTAGTTTAGTAGTTCAGCAGATTTCTTTAAATACTGGAGAGTTTAAAGAACTTCTTGCGTTACATTTTATCACCACTATCATTGTGAAAAATGAAAATATTCCTTCATTTAACTTACAGTGACAAACTACATTGGTGAGACACATGCAGAGCTTCAGTGGGGATACAAAAAAATAATTAAAATCCCTTAATTAACATGCAAACACTTTGCTGACATTAAGGACTTATCAGTTGAATAATCACAAGCACAAGATTTTCCTGTGGGCACAGGGGGACTATGTAGGTGCCTGGCACATGCCTGGCACATGCCCACAAAATCTTTCTTTTTCTTTCTTTTTCCTGGGACTACTAAGTCCACAGCGATATGTGAAAGGCTTACGAAAATAGAGACAGCAGGAAACAGGAAAACAACAATTGTACAGGACCGGCAAGTGCAGGTTAAAGAGAATCATTTCTGTAAAATGTTTGTATCTACATCTTAACAGGTTCAGCATCTACAACCTTGCCATATCTCCACTATCACATGCATAGTAACTGAGAATTAATATACACTTATGATTAGTAACAGACTTTGTTGTAAACATAGCACTTATAAAAAATGGGGAAAACAGCATCTACTGAACCAGCTCCAGCAGGCAATGTAAAGCACTGACATTAAAATAATTGGTGGTGGAGCTGTGAACAGAACATAGAGAAAACCTGAATCCTTTGCTCTAACGAGTTGTAAATAAAAGTCGCCATGTTGCACTGAAAAAGTCTAGGCAAAAATATTACGTCCATTGAAAAATGTACATCTTGGGTGTTTGTACCACTTTCAGCCACAATCACCATGACTGTTGTTTTATGTTTCAGTCATCGAACTTTTTTTTTTTTTTTTTCTGATATCCTGTGTCATCCTAATTTCTTGGCCTCAAAAGCATTCTCATTTAGTTTACAATAACAGAGAAGTTTAGGACAGAAATGAGAAAAGCCCTGTCAGTTTGCAATTTACCTTGGTCAATTAAAGCTTCATTAAACTCATCCAAGTCCAACGCCGCCACATGAGGCACCTGTGTAAGTTTCTCTAAAAAAAGAAATAAATTCAAGAAGACATCACAACATTAAACTTAAAATAACCTGCAACTAGCAAAGTAACTTAAAAACGGCATATCGTATCAGAATTACCTAGTACAGGTGCAGGATTAGTCACTCCTTTGGACTGAGTCTCTATTGTCTTCACAGGCTCTATAACTTCATCCCCTTCTGTCATGTTCTTTGGGTCTGACAGTTTAGTTTCCCCAACTTCCATTTCAGCTTCTGTTGAGATTTGAAGGTCTTCATCTATAGATTTTGCTGGTAGGCAACAGCAGAAAACAACATTCTTCATTTCTAATATATTAAACTAATTGATTTGCAAAAGAAGAATGAACTGCACTAAACATTCTTCTGCCAGATACTCAAGAGACCTGACATAAATTCCTGCTCCTCATTACAAACGGGCAGGAAACATACACAGGGGAAAAGTTCATCCCTGCTTCGCAAAAGAACAGTGTGACTGTGGTGATGCAAAAGGGTCTGCTTCCCCAAACTCATCTACTCTCCCTTGTTCTTTGCTATTCTAGATCTACAAACGGCACCAATAATCACCACATTAGTGAAGTCAAAAGAAGGGTGCTTGCCTGTCCAACAACCTACTACATTGGCAAGACCAGTAAAAGTTGTGAAAAGCTTGGACTCGCTACCTTAAATATCTGTTCTGGAAAGCGGGGAGCAGGGGGACAGAAAAGCACCTGCCTGTGTTTTCCGAGCAAAGAGTAAAAGTTCTTATTTGTCTTACCCACAGTATTTGAAATTTTCTTGATTTTCCTATCTCCTGTCATTGTCGATTTCTTAGTCCGTTCTTTTTTACCTACATAGAATATCCAAAACCAAGTAAGTCAGTAGAAATGCTTTTTTTTTTTTTAAATCTTACATTTGTGAAGTAAGAGTATAAAAATACATACAAAAATAGTTTAATCTGCAAAAATTCAACAGATATGACAGAAAAAACAAAATCCCAAGACCTAAGTTAACTCCGACAAAATACTGAATGAAAGCCATGAAGTAGAGTATCTTTTGTGAATATTTCAGGATTCTGTTGAGAAAACATTGCTCCTGCAAAGGAGTTTGAGTTTTCTTTCTCTTAAGTGACTGTAAACAATTCACAGTTTCCATCTGTGAGACAGCTCTGAAACACACTGTTATGTGAATCTTAATTCCATTCTGGAAACTGGAATCGGAACTGACCACGCTGACAAATGAATCAAGACCAATAAAAGCACAATGTCCCATCAAAATAATGTCTGGTCCTTAACGTTGCTCAGAAAAAATGCTCACGGAAGTCAATAATAGAAGCAACAGAAATATTATATGGGTGCTACTTCCAATGTTTTAATAATACCAAATTTTTGTAAAGTTTCATTGGCTATTGATGTATTTACTGCAGTTTGCCCTGTTTTCATTGAAGTATTACCAAAAAAAGTATTCTTCTCTAATAGCATGACATACAAGTTTTTCTGCCAGACCAAGGAATAACAATTGAAATATTTTCTGTCAGGATCAATATAAGACCGGGGCAGAAACTTAAAAGCATTTGGAACATTCAAGGAACATAAGACACTGAGAAGCACTAGCAGTAACTGTGAAAGAGAATATTAAATACACTAGGCTTATATACATTTGGCTTATAATATACACCAGGCTTAAAGTCAACTTGAAGAATTACACTTATTTCATGGAGCCCAAAGTGCCACATTTATCTTCGACAGATAGGCAAACATTTAAAATTACAGAGTATAAGCACAGGTAAAGGTGGAGGGTTTTTTACTGCCATTTGAGGTTTGTTTTTTCTAGTTATTTTTTTTTAAAGACAGAAAGATAGGCTCGCATGAAAAGGAAGACATTTGAAAGTATAAACTAGAAGTTTTCTTGTAGCTCTCTGAACTTGCTTTCAACTTGCTTTCTGAACTATTATGAAAAGCCCTCACATAAAAAGAAAGAAATGAGAACAAAGAGGGAAGGCAATAACAGAGCGTCCTAGTTTCAGATGAGATAGAGTTAATTTTCTTTCTAGTGGTTGCTGTGTTTTCAGGTTTGTTATGAAATGAATTGGTATGACAGGAATGCTAACGATGCATATAGTTTTAGTTGTTGCTAAGCAATGTTTAAACTAGTCAAGAACTTTTTTCAGTTTCCCATAGAAGTTGAGGAGCATAGACAGAACAATAGAATGGCCAGTGGAATATTCCATACCATAGGCATCATGTTTGTCTATGATGGGGTGGGGTGGAAAAATCACAATCTCTGCTCCGGTCAGGCTGGGCAACCAATTCACCAGGCAGTGAGAGTAACTTGTGTCTTCTATATTCTTTTACCATTATTATTACTGTTATTTTCCTTTTCCCTTATTGTTCTATTAAACTGTCTTTATCAACCCACAAGGGTTTTCCCTCCCCCGCCCTTTCTCCTCCTTTTCTCCCTACCCTGCGGGGGGAGAGGAGCGAGCAAGCAGCTGTGTGGTCCTAGTTCCTGGCTGGGGTTAAACCACGACACAAACATATCATCAGATAAAAGGTAACCAAAACTTACCTGTAACAGATTTAGTTGTCTTAGTGGTGGTGGTCTGATCTTTTCTATTATGAGAAAAAAAATAAAGAAAAATCAGTTTTAGAGACAATTAATGAATACTAAAGCAGCTAAAAAAGTTCAAAAACAGTAAAACACAAGAAACCAAACCAATATGAACCCATTTGGTTTCCAATCGTTATAACTAACACTAATGCATGTAATGGTAACACTTACTTTGTACTTCGTGCAACTTTTTTAATATTCTGAACCCGTTTTTTTATATTCATTTTGGCCTGGAATGGACAGAAAGAAAACCTTTTACTAGAGCATTTATACTTTATTTAGAAATGTATATATACACACACACATATATATATATTATTTTTAAATAGCATTAATAGTAATTAAGTATATTTAATAATATAGGTTGTCTCTGACTTTGTTAAATTGACAGTATTCACAAATATCAAATTCAACCAAGAAAAATGGAAAACTGGAATTACAGAGTACATTTTCATATTTATTTTAGACTGCTGTTTATGAAAAGGAAATTTTAAAGATATTAAAAATACTACGTCTATTTTTCTGTAGAACAGCAGCTTTTGGAGCAAAATACCAAGCTACACACAAAGTATCATGTTATTCACCAACAGGCTGCTTACCTGGCCAGGAGATGCTTTTGGCTTTTCTGCTACACTTATTTTCACCCGTTTCCCATTTACCAGCACTGGCACAGTTTCACCATATTTCACAGCTGCTATCACAGCTTCTTTGAAGTTCATTTCCAAGAAGGCCTAAAATAAATGGTACCTTCAGTCTTTATTTATATTACAGACACAAGATACAATTCACTGAAATTTTTCCCTTAGCAAATCTGCTCACAACAGAACTGCATGTACTTCTCTCTCTAAGTTAACGTGGAGTTTGATGAAAAAATCTGGATTTCAGTATTATACTGAAAGCATCGTACCTCCTCTAACATTTAAGACTTAGAATCATAGAATTGCCTAGGTTGGAGGGGACTTTCAAGATCATCGAGTCCAACCATCAACCTAACACTGCCAAAACTACCACTAAACCATGTCCCTAAGCACCACGTATACCATCTTTTAAATACCTCCAGGGATAGTGACTCAACAACCTCCTTGGGCAGCCTGTTCCAACGCTTAACAACCCTTTCTGTGAAGAACTTTTTCCTAATATCCATCCTAAACCTACCCTAGCATAACTTGAGGCCATTTCCTCTTGTCCTATCGCTTGTTACTAGCAAGAAGAGGTCGATCCTCACCTCTCTACAACCTCCTTTCAGGTAGTTGTAGAGAGTGATAAGGTCTCCCTTGAGCTTCCTTTTCTCCAGGCTAAACAACCCCATTCCCTCAGCTGCTCCTCATCGGACTTGTTCTCCAGACCACTGAGCAGCTTTGTTGCCCTTCTCTGGACACAACCCAGCACCTCCATGTCTTCCTTGTAGTGAGGGGTCCAAAATTGAACACAGTACTTGAGGCAGGGCCTTACCAATGCCGAGTACAGGGGAACGATCACTTCCCTAGTCCTGCTCACCACAGCATTCCTCATACAGGCCAGGGTGCCGTTGGCCTTCTCGGCCACCTAGGCACACTTAGGTAGCAAGCAAGACTGCATTTATAAAGTTAAAATTCCCAGCTATTCCAAGATTACACATGTGGATCTTTAATAACAAACTGTTCAGGAATATTACACTTTTTCATTGCTTGACAATTTCTTTTGCATTCTGACACAAAAAAATCTTTCTACAGGAATACTTACCTCATTTCTAGAGCGAAGTACAAGGAGATCACTAACTTTGCCAAAAGGCTGAACAATTTTTTTAATATCTTGATCTGAAAAGCCATCATCTGGTAAATCAGATATATGAAGGACTGTCCCACAACTCAGCAATTCTTCTCTCAACAGCTGTAAATTGAAAAGAAAATAATAAACACTTTCCAAGTCAAGTCCAGTAAAAGGAAGAAAAAAGAATCTGTAATAAAAATTTCTTCAAAGTAGACAGACTGCTTAGTTCACAGTGGTATTTCAAGTTTTCTGCTTTTTAACACAAGGACAGAGCCACAATCTTGTTGTTCTACTACTCTGTCTCAATCTTCAGTTACTAGAAGACATCGCATCAGATTACTGAGTAACACAATACAAACTTTCTGTTTTTATCAAGTACTACAGATCAACAAAATTCCAGTTGTGTGGGCTGTAAGGGTAAGGAGCAGCACCACTCCACTACTTTCAATACTATCTATTAGCTTTCAACAGCAGTAGGCAATGTTCTCTTTGCTTATCATTTAGAGGCTAGAAACTACAAAGGACTGCCAAGGACAATTGCATCTACCACAACTAAAATACAATCTGGCTTATAGGTGCTGTTTCCAAGAGTTCCAAATGGTCGCTATGACAGACTAAAACAGCACTGCCTTAAGATCCTTCTTACAACAGTAGTAAATTTCTCTGCCTCATCTTTTTTGCTAGACAGGGCAAAATGAACGCTTTCTGCCTCCTATCCATAACCTTCATTTACACAATAAGGTCCTCCAAACAGAGCTCATCACTCAGTTTATACAAGCAAGTGCCCAATAGGATAAGGACCCAAATTTAATGGCTATTTCTTTCTGCTGTTGGAAAGCACTGGAGAGGTTTTGCTTCACATCTGTTAAAAAAACCTTGCTGTGTAAATTACCACACTTGTAGCCAGCAAATCTTTGCATTAAGATGGCATAGAATCAGCAAACAGAATAATTAATCTTTCCACAAGCGATCCCTCTGAAATTGGATACTAACCAAATTCTTGAAATCACAGAGAAAAATATTAAGAAACTCACCCTATTATAAGGAGTAGGACAAGGTCCACTGGTTCCTGTGGATAAATCTTCTTCATCCTCTTCCATTTCTTTGCTTTGGGATAAATCATCAGTTTCAGGAGATGAAGAACTTGACCCAGGCAAAGAAGGCACATCTTTCTTCGAAGCCTTTGGAGAAACACTTGTTTTCAGTGGCTTTTTTGTATTTCCAGGCATCTTCCCTAAGGGTCCGTGAGAGTGTGGCGATTTTCCTGATCCTGAAGATCCTTGCCCAGGTGCTCGAAGTGACTTATGTTTATTGAACTCCGCTACAAAGCCAGGTCCCAAACTTTTTACTACCGCCTCCAGTGCTGCCTTTCTGTCTGTGAGGGGCAGGGAAAACAAACTCAGTTTTGTTTGTTTGTTTTTAAAAGAAAACTTACATATATATTGCTGTTTGGTTTTGTACAGTTTCAGTTTCACCACCCACTCCTGATTCAATCTTGAGACTCACTGAAGTTAGAGAACCTTAATCACACTCTAGCAGAGATGGTCTATAAATAATAATAAACCTCTGTACTATTTTCACTGTGCTGTTGTGTAACTTGACATTTTTAGTTACACCGATAGTGTGACTCTGACAATGGCATCTACAAAAATCCTCATGGCTGGACGAAAAGAATGATCGTTTAATTTTGTATGTCAGGGAATGTAAGAAAAGAAAAGAAGTTTTCAAGACTGATCTTCCTCTCACAAACTGATGCACAGCAGTACTTACTATCTTGATGCCTTCTGCTAAATTCTGTATCCTCCTCTGTCTTGCTCTTTGTCCTACAGACTGTTGTTTTAAATTATTCTTTAACGATCTGATACAACATTAATTTCCTGTACGCTTTCTTTCTGTGGAAAATTTATATTTTGGTTACTAATTGCTTCTTCCCTTCATTCTTCTATATTAAAATGGCTTGTATTTTACCCTCAAGAAGATCTCTTTGAAATTGCCTGTCCCTCACAACTTTTCACCTAGACTTCTTTCCCCCCAAGAGCTCAGTACCTCTTAATTTTCTGAAAGCATTCCCAACAACATAGCCACAGTATACAGATCAAAGAAAAAAAAAAAAAACAAGCTTTTAAAATACCTCTTTTTTTTCACTTCAGAATTTAAACAGAAACAAGAAGTCCAAACAAACCAGTATTTCAGCTAGAGATTGAGCTCAAAACAAACTACATGGAACTGATCAAGTTTACACAAAATTTCCTAGAACTGCAAACTGGAGGAAGTAAGCTGAACAGAGAGTCACAAAATGGTGCAACGAACTTAACTGTTACAAAAGATGTTTAATTTAAAGTCTTCCACGTACCACGCTCTTATCTCAACAAGATTATTTCAGAACACTGTTCCTTCCTTGTAAATTGCACCTCCATTCAATGCAGTTTCTGAGCCTGGCCTTTTCTTTCTCCTCGCCTATACTGCCTTTGCAGAACTACTTTTTTTGATGCTGAAGCTGCCTTCAGTTGTTTTCAATTCTTGATTATCCTTACCGTTTTAAAAACTGAGCACGCTTAGAACAGAGACCTGTTCAGGAGTTATTTGATATGATTAACCAATTCCCAAAACAAGGTAAGGAAGACTTCAGACCTTTTAGAATGCCCATTTTCTTCCAAATATACTTCTCAGAAAGCAACAGCGAAAGGAAAAGCTGTCTTTTAGAAACAGAATTTTGCTATGAAAAATCCTTAGGTAACACCTAGACAGATAAACCTCTTGAAATCAACTATGTTTTCCTGAAATTAAAGGGAGTTTCAATTTGGCAGTATGTATCCGTCCTTTACCTTGAGATCGGGTTGACCTCCTTGATGACCAATCATTACTGGGAGACCTCTGAGGTCGTGGCCCAGTTCTCAGTGGATTTCTCGATCGCTGCGGTGACCTTGACCTGTGTCTGGGGCTAAGTCGTCGCATCTGCCGCGGGCTTCGACTTCTTGGCCTTGTTGGCCTGAAGCGGCCAGGGCTTCTGGATCTCGATCGTGATCGGCGAAGAACATAGCCAGAGCCTGTGACCCTCGAACGTCTAGGACTGGGACTGGCAGAGTTGGAACGACGCTTTGGGGTCTGGTTTTCTTTTCTGTCACCAGCATTTCTAACAGAATAAAAGCATATAATGAGTTTTGACAAGGCAGAAAAGAATAATTAACCTGAGCCTGTTGAAACAGACTTTCCACAAAAAAGAACCAAAATTTACAAAGTTTTGAGTCTAATTTGTTAACAAACATACTTTACATACTGGCAACACATTTGCTATAGGAATTAATGACAGGCAGATGGAACTGAAAAGAAGCAAGTAGGAGAGAACAACCTGCATGGAACAAGAGAAAGCTGCAAAGAAAACTCAAGATACAAGCTTCAGTGCTATGAAAAAATTATAGGAAGAAGAAAAGGATACATGAAAAAGTAATGAATTAAGATGCTTTCCTTGCTTCTTTCAAATTTAGTTTGGAAGTAAGCAACCTTCAGAAGTTTTATCTGTAAGACCGACTGGACTGAAAGAGAGATTTGAGAGGACTACATAAATATATATCAACTGCATATTTATGCTACTTAAAGATGTCAAATTAGAATCATAGAATGGTTTAGGTTGGAAGGAACCTGAAAGATCGTCTAGTTCCAACCCCCCTGCCATGGGCAGGGACACTAGACCAGGAGGTTGCTCAAAGCTCCATCCAACCTGACCTTGAATACTCCCAGTGATGGGATATCCACAATTTCTCTAGGCAATTCGTTCCAGTGCCTCACCACTCTCAGCGTGAAAATTTTTTTCCTAATGTCTATTCTAAATCTAGCCTTTTCCAGTTTGAAGCCACTACACCTCATCCTATCGCTTGTAAAAAGTCCCTCTCCAGCCTTCTTGCAGGCCCCCTTCAGACACTGGAAGGCTGCTATAAGGTGTCCCTGGAGTCTTCTCTTCTCCAGGCTGAACAACCCCAAATTGATGAAGACCATGAAAGGAAGTAACGGTGAAGAAATCCATGAGAGAATTGGTCCCTCTTAGAGACACAGAAAATAGTCAGGCATAGGAAAACCTTGACAGGACAGATCACAGGAACAAAAGGGAAAACCTGGAAAATGGACTGAGTATATGCTTAAGTATGCAGAATATTTTTGGTGAGCTTGTCCGGTGGCAGGCCAGTGTATTACAGCCAAACATAGCTTACAGATAGAGCTCAGAGGGTTGTGGTTAGTGGCGCAGAGTCTAGTTGGAGGTTAGTAACAAGTGGTGTCCCTCAGGGGTCAGTACTGGGCCCAGTTTTGTTCAACATATTCATCAATGATCTGGATGAAGGGATAGAGTGTACCATCAGCAAGTTTGCTGATGACACAAAACTGGGAGGAGTGGCTGACACGCCAGAAGGCTGTGCTGCCTTACAGCGTGACCTCGCCAGGCTGGAGAGTTGGGCAGAAAGAAACCTGATGAAGTTCAACAAGGGTAAGTGTAGGGTACTGCACCTGGGGAGGAATAACCCCATGCACCAGTACAGGTTGGGGGCTGACCTCCTGGAGAGCAGCTCTGTGGAGAGGGACCTGGGAGTCCTGGTGGACAACAGGATGACCATGAGCCAGCAATGTGCCCTGGCGGCCAAGAAGGCGAATGGCATCCTGGGGTGCATCAAGAAGAGTGTGGCCAGCAGGTCGAGGGAGGTCATCCTCCCCCTCTACTCTGCCCTGGTGAGACCGCATCTGGAGTACTGTGTCCAGTTCTGGGCTCCCCAGTTCAAGAAAGACAGGGAACTGCTGGAGAGGGTCCAGCAAAGGGCAACAAAGATGATTAGGGGACTGGAGCACCTTTCTTATGAGGAAAGGCTGAGGGACTTGGGTCTCTTTAGTCTAGAGAAAAGAAGATTGAGGGGGGATCTTATTAATACATACAAATACTTAATGGGAGGATGCCAGGGGGATGGGAGTAGTCTTTTTTCAGTGGCACCCAGTGATAGGACGAGGGGTAATGGGCATAAACTTGAACATAGGAAGTTCCATCTTAACATGAGAAGGAACTTCTTTTGCTGTAGGTGACCCTGCTCTGGCAGGGGGGTTGGACTAGATGATCTCCAAAGGTCCCTTCCAACCCTAACCATTCTGTGAATTCTGTGAACATCTATCCAATTTTTTAGCCCATACCGAATTCTTCAATTCTTTGATGTGAAAGATACACTGCATCAGTACTCAAAACTGGGTAGGGCAGACACAGCACCTTTGAGATCTGAAACTGGAAGAAGACACTGATGCAAGCATATTGTACATAGCAAGCTCATCAACCTTGCCCTGAGACTGCACCCAGCAGCTCTGAACATCTGCCATCACCGAGAGCTTAACAGCTGTATTCTAACTCTCCCAGCTGGAGACATGCTGTCATCAGGAAGGATTTAAGAAAGTGACACCCTAAAAAAACAACTCTTGTGCATGAGAAGATCCCTTACTCAGAAAAAGTGTAATTAAACACTTCTCCAATTTAGCACTGTCCTTCAGCTAAGAGCAGTTTCCTCTGCCTGGGTTGCATGTAGCATCAGCAGCGCTGGGCAGCAATTTCAGTTTGAGGTTTTAAAATATAATTATTCTCTTCATGGAAGTTTCAAAAGTAGATGTGTTTTATTTCTCTCTTTAAATTATTTCTCCTTGTCTAATAGCATGGAGCGACCTCAAATGCACTCTGCAAATTAACCTGACCTACATGTTAAGTTTTTTAACTTTTTTTTTTTTAAACTGAATAGTTAACTTTCCAGGAAGCATGTCAAACTAATTAACGGAAAGTCACAGGAAAATCTGGCAAAAATTAAATTCGTATCATTCCTATTTGTATGCAAGTTGAAATACGTACAAACACTGAATCAGTGAAATAATCCAGTCTTGCTGAGATTCAAGTAGAATTAGTCCACTGGGTGTGTTTTTAAAAAATTATTAGTAAACAAGATAATTTTTAAGGACAAAACATGAGTTCATGAATTCCAGTGTTTTTTCAACTTGTGATCACGTAACTTCCCAAGGGATCTAGGGACTGACGAGTGTGAAATAAGAGCTAACACTAGCACGCCTATTGTCAAACAGGTTTCAAGTTGCAAACAAGAACAGCTTAACTGGAAAAAGATGAAGCCTTAAAGTCAGAAATCACTCACGCAGTTTAATCAGTGATCTAACACTGGTCACAGTCTCTTACCGTTACTACTGTATCACATCCAATAACTTACAACTGACTGAAGGACAGTTAGAAGGTTCAAGGGAAAACTGCTCATAATATCAATCTTCAGACTTTTCTACAGACTTTACTCTCATCCTTATGAAAGAATTTCAGATACTACACCACTTGTATTAAACAAACTTAGGACAAAAACCACAAAAGCACCCCACACAATTTTATAATAAAAATCTGACACCACTAATAGAGTTACCAGTGAGCAAAACAGGAAAATTAATTGCATTAATTGCCATGTTTATAATACCAACAAGTTAAAAACAGCCTGTAATCAAAAAGCAGTTACCTCTTTGAGGAATGAGACTCAGGGTTCCAATCAGGGTATCTGTTAAATGTTAAAAATATGACCATCAATGAAAAAGCTAAATTTGCCATCTGAACACAATTTTCACTTCCATGCGGTAGCTTTTACAGATAAACATTCCCATTCAGGACTCCAGAAGCACCAAGTGCCAATTCATCTTTCACCCTAATGGTCTAAAGTCAATTAAGAATGGTTCTCAGATACTGACAATTCTCATTACAGAAATCCAACAAGTACATTTTCACAGACTACGTCCATGCACAGAAAACACTTTTTACACTAAGTGAACTTTTTAAACAGATTCCTTACTGTTGACGTAACTGGCGGCAGCTTTCAATGTGAGAAGGAGTGTTCTGATGCAGAATCCAGTCCTAATTGGAGAAAAGACATCCAGGGAAGTTTGATTAGCATGTAAAATGTTAGCATTTGACCACAATTTCTAGTTATGTGTTATCGTATTTTCCCTTCCATCAAATTTTACCTAACAAATGATCTTATGTCAAGGTCAAATTTCTCACTTAGAATTATTACTCTTTATGCAAAAGATGAAAATACTTAATGATTATCAAAAGCTCTTAAAGAATACAAAGAAATCTAAGTGGAAGTTGAACAAAATTCATCATATTAAACGAATATGTTACTTCCAGCAATACACTGGGTTGTTGTCACCACACTCCTAATGCAAAAGGTTGATCCAATAGCCGGCTACATTAAAAGAAAGAAAACTATTAGCAGTCTTCACAGAATGTCAGACTGATGAACACATACACAGCAAATTAAGCTGAATAAATCAGAGAACCCGACACAACATGGTACCTTTAAGCCAAATATCAGTTCTACAGAGGCATGACTTTTCATGCCTTAAGTTCAAGAACATTCACTCCTAATAATGTTACAACCAAAGGTCAGTCAAAATGTCTGATGAAATTTTTCACACACACACTGATATTTTTATATTTTAAAGAAACTTAAGAAAAGCTGTCCTTAGGAATAACTGATGGGTTAAGCATGAGACAAATCCAGAAGTACAATGCAAGCCCTCAATCCTGAAAAATACTTAAGCACGGGTTTAACTGCAAACAGAGAATCAGTCCCCAGCACGGGAAGCTATGCCTGGAGACTTTATTCTAGTATTATTATTATGAAAATAAACTGACCTGCTAGTGAAAGCAACTGCTGTAGTCAGTTTGCTATTGAGAAGAGATATTGTACGGTCTGAAGCTGTAAGGTATCATATGGCATCAACAATAATTCTTAAGCATCCTTTAAAAAACAACTTCTAGCTGCTGTTATATTTTAAAATAGATAATAAAGGCTGAATAATGCAACTGACAAACAAGGCTTCATAAACTATTTTGCAGTTGTGAAATTATATATCACTTTTTCTAAGTGCATGCTGGTTTACAACACAAAAGATTATAACATGCGTAGCTGGCAGTATCAACCCCTCTTGTTTATTGACAAAAATGCTGAACACGCTGGTTAAAAGAAAAGCTCATAATGGTTTACTCAAAGCCTATGAGGTGGAAGAATTAATGTGACCAGGGCACAGTTAGTTTTGTGCATTTTGGCAACACAGAGAACGTGGTGAAAACAGCTGTTCCTTGCACTTACACTATCAGCCTATCAACACTAAAATGTGCTACAAGACAGTTACCCAAACTATTTATACTCCACATATAAAAAGAAATTAAAATGCATTTTAAGCACAAGACTTACCACAATTTCCTGAAGAAACAGATATACGGGTTAACCAGTCTCAGAAAGGCATTAAAAGATTTTACTAGCTGTGTTCATAAAAATATTCTAACTGTTCAAATAAAATCAGAAAAATATTACTCAGAATACCCTTTGCATTAGTCTCATCAGTTGAGCCAAAGCATATGAAGAGCTGCAGAGCAGACTGATAAAACAACTTGCAGCTGTAGAACTGCATAGGCAGTGAATACACAGCATGCACACAAGAGCGAGCAGTTCACCGTTAACACTTTTTTTCCTAATAACATGCCATTGCTAAGCAGTCCCATTCTTAAGAATGCCATTTTTCTAGGGTCTCCAAGTTAGACAAGAAAAATAAAAACTATTACTCAAGGGCTAAAACAAATTAGCTTGTGGAAATGAAAGGAAATCGGGCTTCAAGTAGCCCGCTTCCGTAGTCCCAAACGAAGAAAGTGTGCGCAGTGCCCGCCAGGGCCAAGGGAGGCCATTTTGCTTCCAAATGTCTTTAGCTACCGGTCCAACGAGCATTAACGAGACTGGCAGGCCTACAAAGAGATATTCTCCTCCCTAACAAACACAACATTCTTCTCTTCTTCAAGTCTTCATTATGCCAATGCCCTCTTGCATCCCACAGAATTACAGGAGTCTCGATTTATGCGTATTCCTCCTCTTTGATTAATTCCTTGCCCTTCTCAGTCTTCAGATATATTCCACTCCCTCTGGTAAGTTTGTCCCCAAAGACAGATCCTTCCCCCAAAAAGACAAGATCCCTTCCCAGCACAAGCACTCCATCCCATCCTGGTAAGTATAATAACTCACAGCCAGTTTATTACAGCAGCAGCACTGCTTGCTGCTCCACAACCCAACACCCCGCAGGAACGAGCACCTTGATCGCTGTGTTAGCTAATTCTGCACAACTGACAAATCTCCTGTTACTTGTGGATCACCACCAAAAAGGTCCTGAAGAAGCAGCTGACAGAGCACAGCGTCTCCTGTCTCCAAACCTGCCTCTTCTGCCAATAGTAAGATAACACTAATACACAGGGATAGTACCTGCACTTGTTTGTGCCAGTTTCGCAGCAAGGTGTTATGTAGAAAAACTAGGAGTAAAATGGAGCACATCCGCATTTTGTCCCCTTACTTCAGCAAAGGGATCATAAGTCCAATTCTCTGTGGAAAACAATGAGTCCCCATGACTCCACGCAGTTTAAAGCCCAAGAAGACATCACCCTCACTTTAAATCTCTTTGAGCTAGAAAACAAAAACTGTCATACACAGTAAGTACGATCCTTCGTGCTGGCAATATTGCAAATCTACTTTGTTCCAAAAGTGGTATGTGTTTGAAGACTGAGAAATCACACTCTATTATTCCAGTACATCCACCATTTCAAGTTGAAAATGAGACTGCTCTGTAAAATATTCATAAAATGTTTTGGTAAGTTGGAGGTTTTGTAAACATATTTGAAAGAAGACAACACTGAGGGGAGATTCCATCTAACCAAGGGCAAAATTGGGCACTCTTCTATGAAAAAACGTTGCACGACACAAAGGTACAAATGTTTGAGAACACCTTCTAGATCAACAAGTCACCATAGTGTCAATTAGTTTTCCAAATTAATTTTTTAAAGCTCAAAAAGCCCTCCTTTCTTGAACATACCTTTTCCTATAACACAGTATTATGTACAGCCATCCCTGACAATGCCACAAAAACCCTCCGAACACAAGATAAAAATAAGGACAAACCTTGCACGTTTCTGATGCTGCTCCAATAACAACTTGCTTTCAAGTTCATGGTAATCATCATTTCCCACAAACCCACAGTATTTTAGAAAGCTAAACAGTCTGTTGGAGAGTTGACACCTGACTGAAGAACCACACAGACAGCCAAGTACGAAGTTGCACCATCGATTCAAATGGCAGGACTTCTCCAGTTCACCTCTGAATAAATATCTCAGCAGGACCCAACCAAGGTGGCTGGAGACATCGCCAAATAATCGAGGCTGCCACCACCTATTGCTAAAGAGCCAGTGAACAGTTTTGATAGGAAAAGAAATACTGAACAGAGTCTTTCCAAAGTCTATTGCATGAAACAGATGAAGCACTCTTCACATTCAGCCCTGGACTGTAGGCAGTTTATCACGCAGCCGCTGACCTGCCACGTATCATTGCATAAGAGGATTAGCCATATGCCTTACAAAAAAGTTTCAAAGCTTGAAAAAAATATAACTTTTTTTTTTTTCATGAACAGATCTACAATAGCTATGCCATCCCAACAGAATATATTTTAACTTTTGACTTCTGAACAGTATATTAGCAAAAAACACCTTCAAATATATATAAATAGTTCTGTAGAAGCGGTGTTCAGGGTTCTTTTCAGATTACAAAAGAACTAGAAAATACATTTACTTCCTTAGTTGTATGACATTCCAAACAGAACTCGTTTGGTATGCTGCAGACATCTCAAGACCACCTTCATCTTGGATTTCATCACACCTCATTAATTAAGCAAGTTAGACACTTAAGAAGAAAGACCTACGGGGGGAGAACTGATTGGAGGCTTAAGAGAACAGCAGAAGGATTTTTTACTCCAAGCCAAAACTCAGCCAATATTTCACTGAGTTTATGGGAGAGCCAAGCTGAAAGAACAAGGGGGATACAGTTCAGATGATGCAAATACGAAGTTTTAGCCACTAACAGCTACTGCAATTTCAGTGGCAGACTGACTCTCCAGGAGCAGGAGTCGGGTCTCACATCCAGCCGTAATCCTGTCATTTTAATAAACTAATGCCAGGTAGCACACTCGAATTCTCTTCTGACAGGCAATGCAGCTTCTGCTTCTACCTTGGCAAGAAAATGAATCCTAGATGAGTCTGTACTTCAGTACAAGATTAGATTAAAAGAATCTATGAAAAGAGACAGCTCATCACCATGAATAATCTGAACTTGAAATCCATCATTTTAACACCATTGAAACTGTTTTTCAGATATCCAGTATCTTCAAGCATTGGATTCCTCATTCGGTATCTTTCATCATCTTCATCCGTTCTTGTTTCATGTTACCCACTTTGCTTGCCTACTTTCTTTCCAATTTGCCACGTCACAACAAAGCATTCTTAAACTGCTTGTTACAACTTGGTACTACACACCAGAAATCATCCTGTCTAATCACTTTGACCTAAAAACAGATCTGAAGATCCAGTTCGTTTACAGGTGTGCTGGGGAGACCAAAGGTCTATCTAGCTTACCTAGCACCTCTTCTCCCACAGCATGCCACAGGGGATGGCTAGGGAGGTAAATAACAAGGCAGAGCCACCTCCAGTCATCTGCTCATCAAGTGTTTCTTGAGCCATCAGAGGGTATTCACATTGCCTCTGAAGGATCTTCTTCCATGAACTTGTTCCGTTATTTTTCAATTAAGATTTCACAACATTGTGGCAAACGGTATCTACGCTCTGTGTGAAACAACCATTTCCTAGTGCAAGTCATACCACACATGACTACCAACTTCGACTAGATCATTTCCCCATCGCGTCTCTTTCAGTTTGTAGGTGCTGTTTCAGAATGTCTAGGTCAGCTTTAACCATACAACTGAGACAAAGAAAACTTTATCTGTAAAAGCAAACTTTAAAACTGAAAGTAAGAGGAATTCTTCATTCTTTAAAATTCACAAATACACAAGATTGACATTTCTTAACACAAACTTTTATTTTTTGCAGTAAAACTTAACTCTCTTGGTTATTTTGCAACACTGCTGTCTAAACATGGCTTGCCCCATGAAGTCTCAAAAGTCTGAACTGCCTACACAGAAGCAGGTGTACATGAAGAAAAAAAAAATACTATTCAGAATAAAGTTAATATATGCCAGAGCTAGAAGCAGCCATGAGAGGGAGAAAAGGTTGCGTAGTTGCAGTCAGATCAGAACATCTGGAGAACACATGCTACATCATGGTGCCTTTAGGGCAAGAAGATATAACCTTTAATCTCCCCAGAAAACTTCATAGCTAATTAGTCAGAAAGTATTTTTAGTAAAAGCATTTGCTTCAGTTTAGAAAACACCAGTAAGCAAGCAACTCAGTAATTCACATTTAAATAGATTACACTTTTCCAAAGTGTTTTGTCCATTTATTAACACAAACCCAAATTTGTTGCCCTGATCAATTTTACACATTTTTATTTTAAATCAAACTTCCCTTTAAGTTTTCAAGTCTGCCCAAACAGCTGCACTTCTCCGTGGCCTTCGTTGCTTCCAGTGCAAAAGCACTTGAGAATTTATTTTTATTCTGAAGCCCCTAATGCAGCTGTCACCATCTTAACTGTTCATTCACTTTCTTAATACACAGCACAAATAGGGCCTAACAATCTTGCATGATTTTGCCAAATTGCAAAAAAAACACTCCCCCACAGGCTTTCCACAGGTTTGTTGAAGACTATTTAAATTTTAAACACATGAAACTGACAATGAATTATTTAATTTTTTTAAATTACACTCTCCTGTATTTTTGACATATCAAGCCTAGATCTTTCAAGAGAAATCCACAGCTTTCAGAACGCTTCTCTCTCTCCCAGTATTCACCAGTTCCTTCTTTTTCTTCCTTCAAGAGCTGAAACCGTTATGTGTTTCATAGCTGAAAGCTCAGTCAGATGAATGAAAGCATTTTGTGTGTCCCTCAGAGCTAGTCTTCAGTCTCTGGAACAGTCAATGTCGCATAGACCACATTTGGAAGATTACATTTTTGCAGATAAATAGGCTGCTTTGTTTTAATGCAGACTTTGCAGGAGGGGAGCTGAATACACAAACATCTCATCTACCCTACCGAGATTCAGCATACAATTTTTGCACACATTTTAGTTACCCAGATGATGTTAGTATTTTACTCCACTGATAAAAGGGTTGTTTTGTCACTTGAAACCCACTGCAGAAGACATAAATAATTTTTAATTTAAAAAAATAATAATCAATGTGCATGACAACTTTGAAATGCAAATTGGAACAGAACACGCTGTGCTAGCGTTTACTAGCACTGTTTCTAGCATTCTGAAATTTGCACGTAAGCACTCAAACTGGAGAACAGCATCACAATTCATTTAATGCACAATAAAAAAAATAGTTCATAAAACAGTGCAACAGGTAAGATGCCGAGTACAAATTTATGCAATAATCTTTGAAAGACACTCACCTTCATACGAGTGCATTCAATGTTACACAGAGAACACATATGTGGAAATATTCTTGGAGATGTAGCATAGTAGTCATTCATCATTGACGGAGTGGGCAATCTTTTTATCTTCTGGGCATCAGACTGTAGAAACGCGGGAAGCCATGATGCTTTCACAATACCAAAAGGAGATCTAATTGGCCCCTCAGCCTGTGTCTGGAAGGGCTTCTGTCCTGCTCCTGAGCCGCTCTGGGCATTAGACTGGCTTGTACCAGATTCATGCTGAATTCGGTCATGTTGGCTTACAGCTGCAAGAAGTTCAGCTGAAAAGGGTGGCTGGGTCATCGGTGGCATGACATGCTGGGTCATAGACTGCTGGACAAGAGGCGGCATGACAGGTGGCATCATGGGCTGTGCCAAGGGTGGCATTATAGGTGGCATCATGGGTGGCATGACAGGCGGTATTGCAGGCTGGGAAACAGACTTCACCACAGGGAGTCCAGTGGGTGTTGCACACAATCCAGACACCTTTCCCGGAGTCTCAGCTGGAAAAAACGATCGAGTGTTTGATGAATCATTCTGGAACCCCGTCGGTTTTATTAAGTCTTCAACTGGAAACACTGGATTACAGGTCACGCTAGATGGTGGGACACCCAATGACATATTCTGCTCTCGTTGGAAGTCTTCCCTGTTCTCTCCGCTCGACGCTTCAGGATTATAGACACGTGCTTCGAGAGGATCTTCAGCCAGCACTTCAGAATTATAAGCACGCACTTCAAGAGGATCTTCTGTATAACCGTATTTGCTTGCGTGCCCATAATCAATTACTTTACTCTTGACTGCTGTACCACTTGTACCACCAACCGCTTCTTCTCCTCTGCTCTGAGAATGTAAACCAGATAAAGAATGACCCATCTTACGAATCCGTATTTCTCTCAAGATTAGCGGCATGTTTTCAGGTGTTAACTGATCATCTGGATAGCGACTGAGTTCCTCCAAATCTTCATTAGAGAGCCCAAAACTCGCTAAAATACTGGAAGCGCTTTCTGGTGTGTAGCGGTTCTGGGCATTTGAGTTCTGCTCTGTGACCCGTGCCGAGGTAGACGGCTTTTGCCCAGTTGTCCCAGCGGAGCACGGGGTATTATCCCAGTGACTTGTGCGGGGCTCTCCCTTCTGCTCCTGGTGTATGTTCGTCTTCGCTTTTACCTGCCTCGGATCAGCCCTGTGCAGAGTTACCCGAACGTTTATCCTCTGTGAACCCGTCCACTGAAACGTTTCCTGTCCCGAAAATCTTTGTGACACTCCTTGAGGTGTTCCAGGTGCAGGCTTTCTCTGAAGACCTGCTGCACCTCCTCCCCTAAAGGATCCTGGAGGCTTTGTGCCAGATGGATTAGGTCCTCTCGGCCTCTGAGGTAAAGTTCCTCTAGGACTAAACATTGCGCTTTTCAGAAATGCTTGATTTAACCAAGCATAAGGAGGTGCAGAACTGTTGGTAGCAACTGAGGTCAATTGCTGAAGAGCCAACTGTGTCTTAATTTGTGCAAGCTGTAAAGGAGGAGGGCCCAACAGAAGTGGGCTTGCAATGCCAAGGTTCAAGGAATTCACAAGTGGTGCGAAACTTTCCAAGAATAACACAAAGCTGAAAGTTAAAAGACAAGTATTAGATTATTTTATCTTTTCACCTACTTTACGCAGTGGATTCTACAACCGGTGAGAAAAACAACTGAAGTCACAAAACAGTATTTTAATGACAGTTTAAATGGTCCTTTTGAATTTGAAATTCTGTTGAACAAAAACATTTTCTTTCACCGCACAAAATCTTAGATGCAGTGAATAGACAACAGAAAATTAAGTAAATAAGCTTTACCCAACAAGTTCAATGTCACAGACAACAGAACTACTGATGACTCTCTTTCAACACCATTTTCTAAAACTTGATATTTCAGTTTGTAATGACAACACAGTTTGGATTTATTTACAGTTAGAGCTATTTTATGAGCAATAAGCCAAAGTATTAAAACCCTCTACAAATGTTTATGAGGTATGAACTGTAAGTGAAATCATTATGTAGAGAATTCAAAACAGTTACAAGTTGGATGTCAAGTCACTGTGGAATTGATCTGAAGACAGCAGAACAATTTTCAGGATGGACACGCCTATGACCACACTCCTGAAAGTATTCCAAGGGTGTGACAATATTTGAATTCTGTGGCTAGAAAATTTCCATCTCCCAGATGTTAAAGGCAAGATCTTATATTGAAACAACCTTAAACAGAAAGGTGTAAAATCACACAGAAACTGAAACCATCTACATACAAGCATTAAAAAAAAGCACAATGGGCATGGAAACTGCCATCTTTTATTTCAGCTGAAATCACTGAAAACTCAATCCTGTAAGGCAGTAAAAGAATATACAAATACAGGTAGAATAAGACAAAGCGATGCTCACACTAACAAAAACTGACTTTTGGAAATGCATTCTTGTAGCATACTGAAAGCAAGGTGCCCCATCTGTCCAGCTCTGTCTGCACTCCAGAACTGCAGAATCAGCAGTCAGAAGGATTCCCAAGAAGTCCTCACTCCACCCTTTGTCAGTCTGCCATCTCCCCAAACTGGATAACCTGCTGTTTTCATTCTTCTTGTAGCAATATATTAGGTCTGAATGAGTTTTACTAACAGATTTTCACTAAGCATAACTATAATAGGGCTCGCAGACATTCCTAGTTGTTTCTGCACTTGTATGCTGTATTTCTGCAGTGTTGAGGTTCTTGTCTCACCAACACTATCTCCATCACAGGTTTTGTTTTCAAATCTCACAAGTTGACCCCAAACAAAGTTTTTCAAGTAAATGGAAGTGTCTCTCTCATGTTTCTCATCTGTAAGGGCTGAAGTTATGAAGCTTGAGAACCATAACTCAAAAAATAAAAATTACATGCAGCTGCAGCTTAAGAGACATGAACTATGTACAAGCTGCAGGAGGTTCAGATTTTACCACTGGATTCCTGTAACTTGTTACTATCTGTATGTTAAGCATTCTTCTTAAGTTATTTAATTTTAACTAAGTACAAATTGAAGTCAGGCCAAGAAGAAACAGTAGCTACAGAAACATTTATCATATCTCTTCTCCATTACAAAAACATAGGAAGCCATAACAAAGAAGAGATATCCCACCAGACAACAATCCCAGAACTCTGGCCTCTCATCCAGGACTCCTTACCCAATATGCCTCTTCCTTCAACAAATTAAATCATATTTAAATGGTAACTGCGTGTTAGGCCAAGTTTGTTCAAGACAGTTTCAAAACAGACTATTAAGCAAATAGCCACAAAGTAATCTCTTGCCTTTCAGTTTTGCTGTTCTCTGGAACTCTCATCACTGGAGGGCAAAAAAGCCTCTCAGCATATTAATTTGGAAAGTAGCTGGAAAGAGAACAGTATCAAAGCCACCCATACAAGAACAAGTATGAATACATTAGTAGAGCACATTTTAAAAATAAACATGCTGGTTTGCAAACTGAACCTTAATTCAGTGGATTAGGAATCTCCCAGGGTATCTATTCAGGAGCAAACCAGAACTTCAACAGAAGAACTTTTACCACTCAATTAGAGATTTCCAGGCAGCATAGATCACTCAGCCACCAGCGCACTGTGATCAGGTATGCTCACACACCAGTATCTTGAACCACTGCCGTAAGTCACACGCCTCTACAAACCTCTTGTCAGAGCTGGCACACCATCAGCCTACTCCAGGCATCAGCAGGTAGAAAAAGCCAACCAACATATTGCATGGTCAGTATCGGAATGCCACAATTTTCCATTTATGACAATTTTTAAAGCTATCACTCCAGTAAAATCCTAAGGTACAGTCATGTTCAACAGGGAATATGGGTATATACTCACTTTATGCCAAAGTGAACTACTAGAATAATCTATTTAACACCAAAACAGATTAAATTTCTTTTGCTTTTCAGTGAATATTCTAAACTAAAATTGAGGCTTTTTCCCACACTTTGTTTTAGCAACAGTACACCAAAATGAAGAGAAAACATCTTCCATTTTGGATACTAAAAACATAAAAATAGCCTTACTGAAGTAGAACAGAGTTCCAATATCCTGTGTTCAACAGTAACCCAGACTCAATGCTAGAGACCATGCCTATAACTTAATGTACTTTCTTCTAAGTCCTGAAACTTTCTTCAGTTACCAGTCTAAAGATTGTAATGTCATTTTACCTGAGATATTAATTAAGCAATATCACCAAACAGAGATTTTTCTCAGAATCAACAAACAAAATGCTGCAATCTGTTCACGACATGGCAATGCGGGGCCTGCTAACCTACCGTCGAAAAACGTTAAAAAACAAACAGCCTCAGCATTGGATGATTGTTAACAAACAGGACCACGAGAGCCACTTTCTCAGCCACCATGGTGTTGGAAGACACACACCAAGAAGAGTCTCTTCAGCTAAACAGAAGAGACATGGCACTAGCATTTAAAACTACCTTCCTGAGTCACAAAAATAAGGGAACAGATACTAAGAATTTCTCTCTCAAACTAAAACCGTTAGGTTCTCCATCAATATTAATAATTGAAGAAATACAAGAGACAGTTTTGTGATTTCTGTGATAAAAAGGCTAGCTCATGAAAAAATTCAAAACAAAAGTACGAAGTAACCTTAAAGTCGAGGTTTTAAAAGACAAACATATTTGTGCTGTACAGCCCTTAACTCTGAAACCTATCTGCAGTGAAACATTGAGGACTTCACTCAGACCCACAATAATGCAAATATATTTGAGCACATTTACAACATTAGTTTCCTCACCAGCCGACCCCATCTACATCTGAAGCTGTAGGACACAGAGGCAAAACATTTAAACTGCACTCCTCCCTGTGGAAGTTGTATGCTCAAATTCTCTTCTGACATGCAGTGATGTGCTGAACAGCAGCAAGCGTGCAATGAAGCCTTAATCAGCTGAGTCTCATGACTGACCTTTTCCAAATAAATGCTGGAAATGACAGTTGAAAGATAAAGTGATGCCAAGGCTAAGCTAACAATGGCCTGGACATTTAAGGCTAGATTCTCACCTTCCTCTTCAAAAGAAGCTTTGTTTGGAGTTTCTCTGTGATCCTCTAGACTGCTTTTTCTGGTGCAGTGACATCCTGTCCACTCTTACAGCAGTGATCGTGCACCTTTGCTGACGCTTCATCGTAAGCAGATAAAAAATATGTGTAATTCCCCAAAGACCACTGTGCTTACCTGACTCCTGGAAAAGTTACGTCCTTGAAACTTAAAATTTCAGAGTATCACAGAAAAGCCAAATTTTACCCTTCTTGCCTTCTGTTCAACTTCATCAGTCCATTTTGCCAAGCTTCCCAATATGGATGGATAAATGAAAAGCTCTGGCTACCTGGTTACACACTGAAGAGCCTTAACAACTACATTTGTTCCTAAGGTGAGTACAGACTGATCTTGCACCTTCCCAGGTTCGAGGCTACTGGTAGAACAAGCTTTTACCCTCTCTCCCTATAACCTTCCTCCCTCCCCAGAGGTCCAGCTGCCTGTGTTTCAAGGATCCAACTCTGGTGCAACCCAGCTGCATAACCTCGGCCAGGCTGCTGAGAAAACTGATAGAATTGTAGAAAAGAGTTCTGATAAAGTCTACAGAGAGAGTTAAAAAAAGGCCGGGGGGGGGGACGGGGACGGGACAGGATTACAAGCAAGACAGGTGCCATTTGCAGCTCAAGGATTCAATAGGAAAGACACCAACCAAGAATGGAAAAAAAAAATCCTAACGAAAAAAAAACAGGGAGGCGGTGTTGATGGATGGATGACATCAGTGGATGACCGCAACCTAACAACACTGAGGAGCCCTTTCAGGGAGCAGTGAGGTCTTCTCTTCCCGATGCCCAACCAGTCAGCAAATACCCTGTGGCTGTCCTACTGGGAGCAGTGAGCATGCTAATGCTCAGACTAGCAGCCTAATAAAACCTACCAGCCTCAGTGCATGTTTAGCAGTAGTAAGTAACTGTTTTGCAGTTTTAAACTCTCTCTAGCCTTTTTGTAGCATATCCTCGCGCAAGGCTAAAGCTACCTAACTAAAGTGACCCAGAGAAGGATATTAACAAAGCTGACAATTCACTAAACCAATCTGGAGGCAAGCCAGTGATACTATGTAGAAAACTCCTGTCTCTTACAGGTACAGGAATTAACAGACAAAAGCAGTGGGTACTAGCAGATTTGAAGCAAATATGAGAAGTCCCGCAAGCCGATAAAGGGAAATGCAGCACTGACCAGCAATACTGCTGAGTTCAAACTCTTAGTGTTGAAGGTGTACCTGTATCTTGAAGCTGTACCATTTCAGTGGTCAGCTGTCTGTCAACAACAGAAACACCTTTTGAAGCCAGTTGTGCAATACAGAAATCAATCACAAACAAAACAGGAGGCTTAAGTTACAGGTTTGGCAGTGAGACCTCATAAGGCGGAAGCTGCTTTCTCTAGTGACAAGAGAAGGCTTTAACTGAAGATACAGTCTCGCACAGTCATTGAAAGAGTAATTTTCTGCCGATTTGTCTCTATAAATAGTATTCAATTTTCTGGATATGTGCTAATTGCAGACCAGTCAAGTAAAGATTGCATTTCAATATAATGACACTTTGGGAAACCAGGCATACTGCAGAGACCAATACTATGGCTAATCAAATATTCATCCACAGCCAACATTTTCAGGCCACAAAGATGGCAAACCCGGGAACCCCAGAAGGATCACACTGTTTGCACTCACAGCAATGTGACTTTAAACATGCAGAAGGCCGACTGAGGCCAGCAGCCAAGCACTCACACAGCCACTCACTCAGACACCCCCTCCCCAGCTGGACAGGGAGAGGGGACTGTGATAAAGCTCATGGGATGAGATAGAGACGGTATGAAAAGTGAAATGGGGGGAGCCAAGCAAAGGCTATCACTCACCACGTCCTGCAAGCAGACCAGTGCCCAGCCGGGCTTCCAGCAACAGCCACCTTGGAAGCCAAAACCCTCCTCTTTCTTACTCCATCCCATTTATACAGCTGAGCATGACATTACGCAGTACGGAATGTCACTTTGGCCAGTTCAGGTTGGCTGTCCCAGCTGTGTCCACTCTCAACCTCTTGCCCACCTCCAGCCTGCTTGCCTGGAGGAAGGCAGGGAAGAAAGCCTTGATGCTGTGCAAGCAGTGCTCTGCAATAGCCGAAATATCGGTGCTTACCTACACTGGTTTAGTCACACACCCAAAACACAGCACCACAATCCTTCCCAGCTGGAGCCAGTATCACTTAATTCACAGAAATATTCCCAAATGCTGGAGGTGGCCTCAGGTCTCCCCAGGGCTTTTCTGCCCAAGGCTCCCAAGGTGGCCATGTTCCTGGGCTGCAGTGCAGAGCATGGTCCTCGCAGCTGGTCCTGCCTGCCCTGGCCCAAGAGTGAATGCACCAACTATCGCCTGCTGGATCTGTTCCAAGGCCTGCCACAAGGCTCTGCTTGAAATAGTTCTTCTTTCGGGTTACTCAACAGAGAGGACATGCAAGCTGAGTGCAACCCAGAACACACATTCTCCAGAAACCCTCAACGCCTAGGAAAGCTGCTGTTTCTTTTTTGTTAGCTAGTGGGGATGTGGCTGTTATATTACTGACCATATCCATAGGGATGTGACGATGTCCATGATTCCACTTCAGCCTCAAGAACTGGATCTCTTTTGCAGGTCCCTTGTCTCACTTCATTTTGCAGCAAAACCGGCAGAAGGATATGGATTATTCTTTTCCCTTCTCAAAGATTTCCTCTGCTGTGTTGCCCAACACAATGACGTTGTCGGTGTATTGGGTATTCAGGGGCTTCACTCTGTTCCAGTGCTGCCTGTATCAGTCCATGGCAAAAGACAGGGCTGTGCTTCCATCCTAGGTTAGTCAGCTCCAGGTGCATGAACACCCCTCCACATGAAAGCAGCCTGTGGCCTGCACTCAGCTGCCCAAGGGATGGCGCACGCATGGGCAGCACCAGTTGCGCCATACCACCTGGCTGCCTCGGGCTCCTGCTCATACTGGAGTGCAGCATGTCCGGCACAGCAGCATGACCTCCTTCAGATCATGACAGTCCACCTTCAGCCTCCAACCTCCACCAGACCTTGGTGCTGCCATATGGGACTACTACAGAGTGAAGTCACCCCTGAAATCCAGACGGGTTCCACTCCAATCCCCTGATGGCATTGGGGTGGGTACACTGCACACTGGAGTCCACCAGAACCTTGTGCTCCTGTGGGTCCGATGTGCCAGGCCATTAAATCCACATCATCCAGTCAAGCCTGTTGTCCCTTTCATCTGCCTGGGCAGAGACAAATCCACCCTATTCCTGGTCAGAGCACTCATCATCTGAGTCCTACCATAGAAGACCAGATGTCCCTTCATTAAGATCAGGAGGAGGACAGGCATCCTCAGCCCTTCTACTGCATCTGGGGAACTGCTTGATATCAAGCAGAACAGTAATTCTCCTAGATGGACACTTTTTAGCTGTTTTCCCCCACAATTCACAAATGCAACATGTTAGGTCCGAGACAGCACACCACCCTACTTCCACACATGCTCCCCACGGTCACACAGATGGAACCAATGGGTGGCATATCATATGTGCCTGTGAGTCCTGTCCTGAGCTGGGAAAGGCTGATTCCATGTGGCACCCTTTATAGCTGAGACGCCAGCCTGTAGCAGCGAGGAGGAAGAATTCTCTTTGAATCGTTGGAGCTGGTGGGACAGTTCCTCCACAGCTGGCGCCTTTATTTCTCTAGCCAGCCCACCTGGGTGCTGCTGTACACCACCAGTCTCTTCAACACTAACCTCTGCTGCACAGCCCCTGTGCACTGGAAATCATCAGGATCTCTGGAGACCTGGTTGCTGTCCAGGTTGCCGCAGACCATCTCCACCACTTCCGTCAGATAACAGACAAGGTCCGCTTGCGTCTGTAGTTTACTAGATCATCCTCAAGAGGAAACCCCACCTTCAACAGGAGATGCCTGCATTGAGTCTCTGGTTTAGCCACAGTGTCCATTTGTATATCCTCAGATCCAGGGATCCTCCAGCTCCTTGGAGGGTGCTGAACACAGGCCTGGTACGTGTAGGCTGGTCCCAACAGAGCACTAGAAGCCACTCTCTGACAGCTACAAGGCATCCCTCCTTCAGGTGGTCTGCCATTTCAGAAGGATAACATGCCTGCTCAGGCAAAAACTCCCAGGCCGTCGGAGGTGAAAACAGCTCTAGGCACCTGCCCAAATTCTCCCACACGCTATGCCACCCAGGAGCCAGCTGCCGTAGGGCATGTTCCTGTCTGCCATCCCCAGCCACATGGTTACCAGAGGATACACCAAGACCTGAATTGGGATCAGTGGATTCAGAGTCTGATGATGCGGCAGTGTGCAGGGCACTGGTGGCAGTGTAATTATTACCATTATAGGTAACAGTCAAAATCAAAACCAGGTTCACAGTACACACCACTGTGAACATTTCAGTTACGCCAGGACGTTCAAGCAACCAAAGGGACATTGCAACAAGGTTGGCAGGATCTGTCCCAGAGGAGAAGAGGACGACGGTATAATTGCTGTTTGTCTCTAGGCGATGGTTCCTGGAACACAGGGATGACAGCAACACAGAGGCCAACAAAGCACTGCCTTTATCACAGGTTTCCCAGGGAAAACAAAACAACACAGCAAACAGCAAAGGCTGAAAGATGCCATTTCAAAGCCCTACAGCTAAACAGCAATAAATTCAGTCTAGCACACTCCGATCAAATTTGTCATTATATCTTGATCCCCCTCATGCCCCTCGCTGAGCTCCAAAAAGGACTGTAGTATGTCAACGACGGTCAGCAGCCAAACACCCACATAGTCACTCACTCACCCCACTCTCCACCCCAGCAGGACAGGGGGAGAAAAGGAAGTATAAAAGCAAGAAAACTCATGAGTTAAGACAAAGACAATCGGGGGGGGTGAACAAAACCAAGCAAAGTCAGGGCAATTATTACTCTCCACTTCCCACAGGCAGACCAGTACCCAGCCAGGCTCCAAGCAACGGCCACCTTGTAAGCCAAAAAACACCCTTTGCTTCTTCTACCCGAGTTTTTACCGCTGAGCAGGATATTACACAGTATGGATTATCCCTTTAGCCAGTCCAGGTCACAGCTCTGTACCCTTCCAACTCCTTGTCTACTCTCAGGGGTGCGGGGCAGGGGGAAGCCTTGACACTGTGCAAGCACTGTTCAGCAACAGACAAAATATTGCTGTGTGACCAACACTGGTTTAGCCACAAATCCAAAATACAGCTCACAGGCTGCTGTGAAGATAGTTAACTCCATCCCAGCCAGCGACAGTAACATTCAGTAATACAATTCACTGAAATATTCCAAAGAGACTCCATTCCAGTGTTCATGGGGTTCAGTGCATCAAGTTTATACACAGACACGCACTAAAAAATAAAAATAAAAATCAGCACAAGTCCTTCAGCAACTACTTCTTAAAACAAGCCCAAAAAGGGCATTTCAGCACCTTCATGGAATATTAGCAGCAGAAATCTACCAGCCTTTTACAATTTTCACTTTCCAAGTACAAATTTAGAGCAGTACAAATCCAGCATGCTGTTTACTAAGTACATTTGTATGGATGCAACAGCTCTGAGGTACATGGAGCTCTGCACGCCTGATGTGGAGATGCGCCTGACAGCATTGCGGACAAAGAGTAAATACTAATACTTCTGCCTAAAACAACCCAAAGTCCATTCAGAATATTTAACTTGACAGCAATGAAGTAAGAAAAAAATTTATTTACCTTCAAATGTAAAACTGAAAAAAAAGGTCTCAATATTCTTCCCGTTTCACAAACTGAAGAGCTCCTTGTTTGGTAAGGACTAACATGAGCACGGTTGAGCTTCCCCTGAGCTCAGCCCCAAAACCAAACTGCAAGATACTTGGGAAAGAGAAGAAGGGAAAAAAAGGAATCCAGCGGTATAGCAGGGAGCAGCAAGTTTTGTAACCACTTGGAACCCCACCCTTGGATAAATATCACTCGTTTACATCAGTTGTCACAAAAGCTGAAGAAGAGATCACTCTAGTCCCTTATGTCCTCCACCCTTTGAGACAGAGTGATTGTTCTGTTAGTTCTGGCAAATGATATTTTTTTAAATCAGAAAAAAACTGCATTTGAAGATACTTTTTGTCCTTGAGAAGTGCCTTGTCAATAGGGAAAATAATTACCTCACTTTTATATCCACCCTCTTGTAGACCTCACAACAGAGTTATAATTTAATATTCTAAATGTCTAGTGAATAACCACATACCAGAGAGAAGAACATAACCCAAAACTGAATACACATTTCAACATCAATTCTGGGCTATAAACCAGGATGGATGATCAGTTTTTTTTAAAAAACACAATACATTTTAATCAGTTATTTAAATAATTTTTAAAATAATCCTATAGAAAAATAAATGTAAAAAATAACAACGTATATTACATTACTGTATTAAAATAATTGTAACTAAGCAAAAATACTACAGCAGCACGTGTCCAAGTTTCAAAAAAAGAAAAAAAAGAGTCTAATTTCCAAATACATGAGGTTCCTAGGTAAGAACTATAAACCAGATTATGCTATGGTGCAAAAATACTTTGCCTTGAGAAAAAAGAATTTTTGTTGTTGCTTCAGTTATTTGACCAATTCAGATCAACCACTATTTTCTTCAAAGTCAAGAAGCCAGTCACATAAGGACGAAACGGGAAAGCCGTCTTTCTTCTCCCAACAGAGAAGCATGAGGTGCCAGAAGACATATCTACATTCTGAGCTCTCGAAGGATACAATGATGACAATCAATCTCTCCAGTTAAACAGAGTGAACATCGCTTCCTTCAACGGCCAGTGTCAAAGCCAAAACCACCATTCCCAAACCGCCAGATAGCTTTGTGTCAATGTAACTGCGCTAAACTTATAGATTTAATTAAAGGTCCGAGCTTTCCCTAACACACAGCTGGACGGAGACACAACGTAGGTAAGAATCAGAAAGCAAATGGTGCGTTTCCCTAGCTGTTTGTTACAAACGTGTAAAAGCCGAGATTGAGTAAGCACACGCTGTGCTATCAAACTTCTTAAATCAAGACGCGCGCTGCCGGCGAGCCGACACTTCGGCTGCAGTGCAGATAAACGTTATGCTGCGGGTTACGAGCGCGCGTTCGTTCACCCGCCTTTTACACCGCG